TGGATATTAATGCCCATACTGCATAAGTGAGTTGCCCAAGGTCACTCAGTGAGTTGTTGGTGGAGCCAGAAATAGAATTCAAGTCTCCTGACTCCCAATTCAGTTCTCTATCTTCGATATAGTTTTCTATCCTCTATACCCCTGCTGCCTCTCATGGGAAAAGAAGTTAATCTTCCAGCTATTAATAGCCACCAAATTGGTGGTAGCAGCACAGTGGAGAAAAGTAACTGTCTTTACACTGCAGCATTAGTATAAAAATATCTGGTAATGGAAAATTTGACAAATGTCATGTTAAAGGGAGTGGAAAATTATTTTAAGATCTGGATCTCATTTATCTAGTTCTCAGAAAAGTAAAATTCCTTAGTAGAACAGGGATCATATTTTCCTTCCTGTTTTTAAATTGTATTTCCTAGAGGGTAATTGTCAACCTAGCCAAAGCAGAGCCTGTTGTCAACTAACATAAGAAGATGCAGGTACTGCTTTTTCTAAGTGTATTTTTTAACTTGATTGAAAGTTTTAGTTGCTTTATTGAAATATATCATGCTTATTTTATTCCACATTCAATGTATTTTGTAGTAAAGCAAATATAACATCATCAGCTGATAGTTTTACTTCATGGGCAAAAAGACACCTTATAGTTTCTTCTGTGGGCAGTACACTTCAAGCAATGGCACTTTCTGTCAGGCTCCATAAGTTTACCAGAATGAAGTAGGCAGAGTAGAAAAAAGTTAATAAAGAAATGTTAAGATTAGCATATTGAAATTGGTCAAACATACAGAAACACATAGTCATTTCATTATTTAGAGCAGTAATAAATGTTTTTGTATTTAAGCATGTCTAGTGTCGTGGGAATTCACAATTAAGTGCTAACAACAATTTGTTCATTTTGAGCCAAGGGTCAAGAATTCTCCTTCTAAAAATACCTGGGTATTTTCTTTCTTTTTGAAGATTACTAAGTCTTTCATCAGAAAATGACATGGTCAGAATTTTTCTTCTACTCTATGTTTAAGAAAGCTGGGATTGGTGGAGGTGGGAAAACGTGAAGGGAAAAGAAAAGGATGTAGTTAGTTGGGACGTGCATGACTGAGAGGGTAGTGGGAAGGACAATTATCTATAGAAATAAGAGACTATGGAATGTGATGACTAGAGGGCCAAGTGCATCTTCCCAGGGAAATGTATGCATTTATGGGATGAAGAGAAGAAACTCCGACACCAAAGAAGTAGTAGGGATATATTTTTGAAAAGATTAAACTTGCTGACCTCTTGACATTAGGGATTTTTGCTTTTGGATAGTAGTGAGTATCAGAATACTCTGAGCTCCTCAAATTATTTCCATTTCTCTTTGGTGTTAAACCTAATTCTTCCAAACCCATGTGGTATATATGACATAGGCAACAAATCAATTGACTAGGATGCTTAATAAGCTATATATCTGATATCATATCAGATTATATTCTTTCAGTAACCTTGGATTTTATTAGTTATTGCCATTCTTGTTCATTTTAGACTAGACTTCTACTTAATTAGTACTAAACTGGTCATAGTTTACAATAGAACAAGCACTAATCTCTGTGCCTACAAATTAAATATCTTTTGTTATCTTAAGTCTAAATTAAGCATGAAAGCTAGAAATTCCTTGTGGACTTTGTTAGAATTGGTTGGAAATTTGTTTTCATGATTACCTGATTCCTTAAGGTAGCTACAACTATAAATTAATGATCAATATTAGCAATTTATTTTGTTTTCCATTATAAAATCTCTTTATAATGAAGTTTACTTATTGACATTTTTAACAATAATTGTGTTTTTTTCTTTTCCAACTTATTTTCTTTCAGATTTTTGTCAGTTGGCATAAAAGTGCTCAATGACTAGCATTTTGGTGTTTTTTAATTAATGGATTTGTTACGAAACTATTTAGGCAACACTTTTGAGCTCATTTTTACTTTTGTTGAACAGGCACACCTTCAAGTGAATCCAATCTGCTTAAAGTTCCTCCACAAAAAAGAACTCGGAGAAAACTAATGCCTTCTCCCTCAAAAGCAAAACATACCCAGAAGTCTGCACCATCAGAAAGTACGCAGCTCAATGATTCTCTCAGCAGAGAACTTCAGCCTATCATGTATACTCCAGAAGACTGTAGAAAAACTTTTCAGAATTCATCTACAGGGAATTTACTGAAACCGTCATCACAGACTACAAGTTTTCAGGCCATCAGTTCGAATATAAACAGTGACAGTTCTCTGAAAATGTTATGTGAAGCAGATAGCCCTCCCAATAGGAGAGTGAGATGTGGACAGGAGGATCTGGACTCTACCTTCATTATCTGTGAAGACATCAGGAGCTTGAAGAATAAGTTACCTGAACAAGAATCACTGCCAAACAATAAAAACATCTTACAACGGTACATAGAAAGAATATTTGTCTGTTCTTCCCCTTTTTTGTTTTTAATCATTGCCTTTAAAATATTAGTTTTCTTTTTCTTCTTTAGCTATATTTGAGGTCTGTTTCATATATCTAGTATGCTATCTCGATTATAAAATAGTGTTTTATTTTCATGAAATCTTAATTATCTTTCTGAGTATTAATTCACTAACACAATATTTTAATGTCTTAATTTGATGTCTTAAAGTCATTTGAACTTCATTAAACTAGGAGAGATCTTAAGATATATTTAGTTTGTTCTTACTCCAAAGTTGGATAATATAAGCTATCACTAGAGGATTATCATGTTTGTTATTATTCATTAATATCTTCACTGAATGTAATTCCATGGTTTCTGTTAATGTTTGGCAAAACCTCAGCTAGCCATGAATCTAAGGTGTAGCTGACAGCATGTTGTCCAAACAAACATATTTTTCTCACTTTATTTACATAATCACACTCACACTGAACATGGGAGGGGGGAATACCTTCACTTTCCTATGCTGTTGAGAATGCAGAAATCCTTCGATAAGTCTCCCTACAGTATTAAAAAGAGAAAAGAAAAAAACTCCAGGGCAAGTGAGAAAAGTTTTTTTATTTTAGAGAGAGATTTTTTGCTATAGGGCGCATGCACTTCCTGGTGAGACAGAAAGACAGAAAGCGAGAAATCACCCCTCAGGGGCAATGGCCATGCTCGGTCCCTTCTCCTCATTATCCTCCTGGGATCCTGGGCACATGTGCGTGTGTGCCCAGGACTCCAACCGCAATTGACTGCATGGGAGTCTAGCAACGTAACCATTATGGCATCTGTTGGGTCCCAAGAAAAGTTTTATAGTATAGAAGAATGTTTTCCTTATATATTACTACCAAATGACTTTCTAATTATGGAAGTATATGCCCCCATTACCTCCATAGTATAAATCAAAATGATTCTTTTTCTGTTTCTCACTATTTAATATACAGGGTTGATGCATCTTCATTCTCAACTAAGCATCCTGTGCCTATTCCAAGCATAATGCCATCCTACATGGCAATGACAGCCGCTGCCAACAGGAAACGGAAATTAACAAGGTACGTCCATAACACAAGCTGGTTCAGCTTCTATGTAAGTTCATCATCATACTTTGGGTCCTGCAGCTTTTTTATTTCTCATATTAGACTGTCAACTCATATTTAAACAGACTCGTAGAAAGTTGCTTTGAATGAGGTATTAGACTTATGTTATCAAAAGTATCATGATAAAGCCCAGGTATTTCACTTGATATTTACATAAAATATTGCACAGTTCAGATTATTAAAAATTAATTTGAAGTCTCCATGTTTTCAAAAATGTCACTTAAATTTAAACTTCTGATGAAATTTTTACTCACTTGGTTATTTTTCCTTTTAAAAGTTACTGAATTTCATCCTAGAATTATGTTACTAAATAAGTGTTGACATATGACTAAAATATAATCAACAAGGACACTTCTGTTTCTGGCAATGAGTAGCCACCATCAGGAACAATTGTAAAAGCTGAATAAGGTACAACCGCCATTTGAAGGCCTTAGAGACCAACCAAGGCAGCCAGAACTCGAGGGCCTAGGATCCCAAAGAAAAGGGAAACACACTGTCGAGAGTCAGATTTCCTCTGCCCCTTTTATCCATTTAGCATTTGCCAATTCATGGTGTAAGGTATAGAGTCCAGGCAAAAAGTGGAAGCTTAGAAGTATAAGCAAAATTCTGATATTCTAATTTTGTGTGATAAAAATTAAAACACAGAGACTATCTTGAAAAGGAGACTCTGTTAAACACCCTAGGGTTTTATTTGAAATTGCTAAAGGGCTATGCTCTAGGAATAAGGCAAAGTGGAAATAGACCAGTTACTGAAGGCCTGAAACAGCTCTTGGGCCTTCTCAGTCGTTATTTAAGTCAAGGGGGTCTATCCTCTCAGTTAAACTGAGAGACAGTGAGAGGAAAAGTGAGAAATCACCCCCCTTGCCAGGGGAAATTAAATCATCTCTGGAGGAATGTACTATTCAGAGCCTTTGTGTTTTTCATATACAATATTTGGCATTTAAACAAAAACCACTAAGTATGCAAAGAGACAGGATCAAATGACTAAAAATTAGGGAGAAAATAATTAGAGAAGCAATGATCCATAAGTGGTACAGATGTTGGGATCATCAGATAACCACTTTAAAATGTTAACTGTGATTGATGTTAGCAAAATAGATGATAAGATAGAGAATTTTCCCAAGAACCAGATTCTACTAGAGTGAACTAAATAGATAGTCTCAAACTTTTAAGTTTGAGATAGAATTTTCTGAACTTAAGAACTCAATAGGGCCAGATAGTGGCATGGTGGTTCCAGGTTCACATCCAGAGACCACCTTCAGTTCGCTGGATACACATGTGCTCTTAATTCAGGACTGGCTGAGACTGGGGTGGGTTCTCATATAGGGCACTATGGGAGTGCAGTCTCTGTCTCTCCCTCTTTCTCCCTTCCCTGTCTCTTTCTCTCACTCATGGAAGAAATAAGTAAATAAATAAACCTAAGAAAATACTCAATGAATCTATAAAAAGGTGAGACATAGCAGAAGAGAAGATTAGTGAACTGGAAGATAGGCAGATAGAGAAATACCTAAACTAATGCGCTAAAAGATAAAAGGATGGAAGCTATGGGGAAAAGTTACATGGTACACAATTTACAAGGGCTGTAATTCATATATATTTTGAGTCTTTGAAGGGAATGAGGATTAAAAGACAAATCAGGGTGCTAGCAGGTGGTGCGGTGGTTAGAGTATTGGACTCGCTCCTAGCTGACTGCAGTTTAAGTCCCAGACCTGACAGCTTGCTTTTTCACTTTCCCTTTCTCTCTCTGACTCTTTCTGGTCAAATTGAAATTATAAATAAATAAATAAATAGTAATAGCAAATAAAATTAAATAAATAATTATTTTAGAAAACAAAAATACAAATCAGAGGTTCAAGAAGCAAGAAAATTACAAACTGTAAGCAGGATTAATGCAAAGTTAAACAAAACCTATATAGTGTAGTAGCGAAACAACTAAAAATCAAAGACAGGGAGAAGTTTTAAATATATGGCTATATGATATGAAGTTCATTATTCATTCTTTATATCCTATAAATGAAATGCAATGACAAAATACATTGGATAAATGTAAAAATTTTTAATCAATGTGATTATGGGGATAGAAGTGTATAAGACCTAAAGATAACTCTCTTAATTTCCTGTTTTCTGCCATCAACCTGTTATCTGGGCTAGAGGAAACAAATAGCCTATTTGTGCTCCATAGCGTGGCTTCTCATTGGTGAATTTAGAATCTGCCCTTATTTCTTCAAAACAAAGGGCCTTGGAATGTGTAAATTCAAAAATCATGGATTGATTTTTTTTTCCTGACTATCCATAACATTTAAATGTTTGTATTTCACTAATGCACAAATTTGAATTGTGCAATTTGTCTGGTTCATATATGGGAATCAGTCACTTCATAAGTAAGTCTAGCTAACCAGCATTCTCTATATTGTCCACATTATCACTGATTTGCATTTGGTCTGTTTTGTGATTTTTTTCCCATTAATTGATTTTTTAAAGGTTTTTGCCATAGAGCATGTACATTCTCTAGAGTGAAACTGAGAGACAGTGAGAGGAAAAGTAAGAAATCACCCCCCTTCCAGGGGGAGGACCAGCCATATCTCAATCCCTCCTTATCTATTCCCCCACCCCTGGGATTTGGGGTATGCAAGCACATACACCCAGCTTGATTTTCAAGCCTTCAGGTCTGGGTCTCAAACCACAGTCAGCCACGTGAGAGTCCAGCGATGTGACCACTGCAACACCTGCTGGCCACATTAATTAATGTTAATGAGTGTTCTAGCCTTTCACTGGTAGTGTGCCCTGTTATATTACTAAGATAATGGTGAAAGTTTATAGAGAATAATTTCAAAATGTAAACATAGTCATTATCAAATAAATCACATGATTTTTTTCTCAAGAAATGTCCAAGTACATGAATTGTGTCTTTAGAGTGATTTAGATGAGTTAAAGGGCTTCCACGTGAGCATCTAATATGGTAAAATAGTATTAAAGAACATGTAAAGAAAGAAACTTGATTTCTCATAGCCTATTAATTGCTCTATTACATTTCCTCTGGTACCAATAATTAGATCCTGCCATTAACTAAGGTTAAAAAAGATTAATGTTAGAAATGTACATAATTACTTTTTTTAATCTTCTTTTTCCCAATTAAAACTACATGAGTGAGAGTAATAAACTGGTATTTTCCACTTTCCAGCTTTGTACACATATTTAGGTATGTGTATATTCTAATGCGGTTTTCAGAAATAAAGATGAGATAGCTCCATATATGTATATTTATTTTGCGTGAGTTTTTGTCTCTGAAAAAAATGGAATCCAAAAACACTGAATATTCTAAAACCTATTAAACTAAATTTTGTCTTTCTACTTACTTAAACTAGGAATATTAGATTTTTAAACTTGACAACTTTTTAATATCATTGTAGCAGTTTGTTTTGACTAAGTGAATCAGCCTATAAAATATACAAATACTATATATACACTAGTTATCCCTTACTTTTAAATTGTATTCATGAGAATTGTGGGTTGTTTGTTTTGTGTTTATTTGGTTGGTTGGTTTTGGGGTTTTCCTCAGCGTTCTTATCATCTAAAAATGGTCTCATACTTGCCATATATGTTTTTGTTTGCTTTGAAAGGTATCTAATGATTCCAAGTAGAAATGACTTCATCTGAAAGAGTATGAAATATCTCACATTTGTTGTGCAGAGACATCCTGTCTGTGCAAGGAAGCAACAGGCTACTTCCTGGCTTTTACTAATCGTTTTGGATGTATGTATCTGACACACAGCTGGAAGAGTCTTTGGATGGCTTCTCAGTATAGTCCTTTACATAATTTGACATTTCACTCATGGCATGATCTAACTTACAAATGTTCAACACTTTATCAACGGACTCTTTTACCTAGATCCTAAAAAATGTTTGGGTTTATTTTATCTGTAAATAAATATGCAACTTATTTTCTTAGATTGGATTTCATCCTTAGAAATAAGAGTTTCAATAAAACAGATTTCTTCAAAAGCCTAATTTGCAAGTAAAAGCAGGCTGTGAATAAAAAGTAAGGTCCTAAAACTAACCCAAAGTAAAGAATTATTATATAAAATAAAAACAACCCTAAGAAAAATTGTTAGGAAAAGCAATACTTACCAAAAGAAATTGATAACTTAATCTTTATGCTTGAAGGACTAAAATTATCAAATAAGAATTTCTGCTGTTGATAAGTAATAAATGCTCTCTCAAAAAAGTGATTTAGTATTCAAAACAGAATCATGGGGACCAGCAGTTAGCATAATGGCTATGTCGCTGGACTCCCACATAGTCGACCGTGGTTCGCGTCCCAGACCCGATGGCTTAAAACTCACGCCGGGCACGTGTGCTTGCGTGCCCAAGATCCCAAGAGGAGAATGGAGGAGAAGGGATTGCGGCGTGGACATCCCCCCCTGGAGGGTGATTTCTCACTTCCTGTCTCTCTATCTCTCTCTGTCTGTCTGGCGAGCACACGCACCCTATAGCAAAAACCTCTCCAAAAAAAATAACAAAAGCACAGTAACTTCATTTATTGAGTAGTCATGAAAGTCACAATGCATTTTTGCATAGTAAAACAAGTCATGACTTTTCCAACAACCTAATATTTAGCACCAATTAGGAATGGACTTTCTACAGCTGAATTTGTTTGCTTGTATTGCCCTGGTATTTCCTTGTAACCATTCTGGATAGGTATCATTTGCATTGTTAAAACAGAGCATGTTCAATAAACACCATAATATTTCTCTCAGAGTATCGAAAAAAGTAGGGTATTGACATTTCTATCTTGAATGAGCATACTACTCACTCTTCCTCCCCCTGCTCCACAAATGCACGCCTGCACCTGTTTACTGCATGGTCAGAATTGCGGAAAAATCAAGTCATTGCCATTAAAAGGAATCCCCCAATTATTAATCCATCTGCCAACAAATAAATTACCATGTTTGTAAAATGGTATATATCATCTATATTATCCAAAAATTCTCTAATATCAGCTTGTCTGAGTCAATGTGGAAGGAAGATGTCCATGACCATCTGGCCCCCAACTCTGCCTGTTAAAGTTTGATGTTTACGGCCAGGGAGGATTGCTAGGAAGATCTTTAGGGTGAGGAAGATCAAACTCACCACATCCACAAGCCTTCCATTTTGCTTTCTTCTTCTAAATTCAGGGATCTGTAGTTCTCATAGTTGGAATTCTTGGCACACTTTTTTTTACTTTACCTTATATTATTTCATGTATTGGTCTCCTTTATTCCCTCATCTCTGCTGTGTATTCATTGTGTAAGTTTTCAGGACAGAGATTACACCTTACTTGTTTATCCAGTAACATGAAGCCACAATTAGTAATTGTCAACTCAAGTTGACTCGTTAACAATGTGAGACTGAGAGATTATTTGAAGCTAGAACAAAGGAAAATAGCTTATTCTTTTCATTTCAGGTTCTATAATTCCAATAATCAGAGACTTTCAATCTATCACTATTTATTCTCGTTCATTTTTTTAATTCTAAATATGATTTCTGGTTTACATGTAATCAGTACTTTGTAGGCTACAGAATAATTTCTGAGACATGCATGCAGTATACTAGCACTGTGTTTTAATTTTAAAAACTAGGTTCCACATAACCTCACTTGTTTATATTCCCTAGGTTAAGATTCTTGTTCCAAATTTGTAACATGAGCTGTTTTGTTTTGTTTTGTTACCTCTTGTGACATGCGCTACTTACCTGTAATTGTGAATAACAGCTCTCGCTATATTCCATCCACACCCTCTGGTTCTACTCTGCTGCAGGACTGTGGTATGCACACACCTACAATCACAGAGACCTATTTAAATAAACATCACCATAATCGCGCATAGTTAACTCTGTGGCCAAAAAATCCATGTAGTACTTCTAATTATTTCTATGGGATTTCACAACCTAATGTTTTTATATTTTGTTTCTTTAATCATTGTTGTGTGTGCAATGTAAATTAGAACTCTGAGATATAAAGAATGCTTAGCTAAAATTAAAAAATGTTTTCCCTCAAGCTCAACATCAAATACTTCGTTCACTGCCGAGGCATATTCTGGGTTCGCCAAACGTGTTCGAGCAGACAACTCAAGTGATAAGCACTTACAAGAAAACAGACCAACAATGGGTATGTCTCAGCTCTTAATTTCATGTTTAATACATGATAACCTAACATACATATAGTACTGTACATTTTTTTACGCTCTTATAAAAATCTCCTTTATGTACTCATCACCTTCATTATGTGGTAGAACAAGTGTAATATCCACATGGAACAGGTAAGGAGACTGAAGACACAAAATGTAAACCACCCACCCAAGATCACACAGCTGTTATTATGGTGGAGCCAGAACTCAGAACCAGCTCTCCCAACGCCCGTTCTGTAGATCCCTTTTGTTGTCCATATTGTAAAAGTTTTGGTAAATGATGTAGCTAATAATTGAAATAATAAGCTATATGTATTTTTTTAATAAGCTAGCAATTAAATATATTTTATAGATAAGCTATACCCATATATATAAACTTGAAATTTTTCTTTTAATCTATTATTTTTAATACTTGGGCCCCTATGCATTTGTGTAACTACTGTACAGGGTACAATCTGTACTTAGTTAAAATTCTATTTATTATGACTCCCATCAGCAAATGGAAAAGGATGCTAATGGACATGAGTACATGCACTTTAGTTAAACTGGAGGTGCATCACGCCAACAAGTTTCCAGGCCTTGATGTCAAGACGTTTGTGTCTCTGACACTGCAGTTCTTAAGACTTCATTCATAAAGCGTGCTAGGTCCCATGATGAGTACGGAGCTCAGTAAGACCCAGTCTGGTCTCTTTCTAACAAATTTGTAAGTCATTTAAAACTTAAAGGGGTCTCATGAGATAATAAATGTTTCTAAGAATAGCATGCAAAGTGTTGTTACTTTGTTTCAGTCAGTGCTTTTGGTAAGAGTAATAGAAAATATCTTAATGACTTTGCCAAGTTCAGTAGTAGCCAGTGGCAGTTGATTACCTAAAGGGCAATCGAAATGCCTTTCTTGCAAATTAAAAACTCAGACAATAAGGTTCCAAAACGTAAAATTTGCTGTGATTGCAGATTAGGTGTACCTGGTCTGAAAATCCTAAATCCAGAATGCCCCAATGTCCGAACCACCATACCTCACATGTTAGGTCACAGTCAAAATGCTGCAATACAAAAATAAAATGACCGTTAGGCAATATGTGCAATACATTTATGAAACCTGAATGGATTTTATGTTTAGACTTGAGTCCCGTTCTCAAGATATCTCATTGTGTATATGCAGATATTCCAAAATTTGAAAAAAGTCGAAATCTGAACCACTTCTGTTCTCACACATCTTGAGTAAGGAGTACCTCGGCTGTATTGGGTTTGACGTGCCCTATCTCATTACTTAGTAGCGCCTGTCTTATTGGTGTAGATGTGTACTGGTCTGTTGGGTCGCCTGAAAGAAATTTTTAACAGGTCATAATTCTGCAACCAATAATAAATTGATGAAGACTCTCAAGTCATAGAAATTATTTTTTCTAATCTATTTACTCTCTGAGAATTCTGTAAAATGCATCAAATATCTCATGCATAACGAGATAAGTAAAAAATGCTCTATGGAGTAAAGCTGGGAAGTGACACTAAACCACAGTGCTTGCCTAAGAGAAAAATAAAGAGCTACCACTAGTTTCAAAGAATATCTGTCATCAAGGATAATGGCCCACTTAGATATACTGTTTTGTAAAGGAAGATAATATTTTATATACGTTAGAATATCCAAGGGAAAAATGTCCAAATACACCTTGAAAATGACTAGTAAAATAAAAGAGAATTAAGGCTTTCTTCCTTAAATTGTATTTAACTGACAAAACTCAGAGCCTGTGCATATGTGCCCAAATCCCAAAAGGAGGAGAGATGGAGAAGGGATTGCAGCATAACCATTCCTCACAGGGGCTGCTTTCACTAGCTCACGTTCGTTCTCTCTCTCTCTCCCTCTCCCCCTACCACCATGTGTGTATCTCCAGGGAGTGCCCATGCCCTCTGGCAAAATAATAAAAGCATATATTCAAACAAGTTCTCCAATAGCGTAGAAATTAAAAAGCAAATGACTATTAATTGGGAAGAAAGCAACTGCTGGTTGTTAAATGAGCAGTCAACGAAATAAGAAATTGCGTCCACAGAATGTGTGCTTCTAAAAGGAATACTTACTGTGCCCAAGAAAGTGCATAAGCCATTAGAGTGACTCCAAAAGAAGTCCAGAGCATCCCGGCATAACAGCTATGGTTGGCTAGAAAGTCCTTGTGAAGGCTGTTGAAGAACCAGAGTGGGCATTGGTCAGACACATGTGAGAGATGGCAGTGACGCAGAAGCGCTGGGGCCAGGGCCAGCCATTGGGAAGGTGTAGGTGCAGGTGATACTTTTCCATTGGACGACTACGGAAGCTTAAAAGCTGTGTGTGTGTGTGTGGGGGGGGATCAGCAGTTAGAGTAATGGCTATGTCGCTGGACTCCCATGTAGTCGACCGCAGTTCGCATCCCAGACCCGGTGGCTTAAAACTCACGCCGGGCACGTGTGCATGCGTGCCCAAGATCCCGAGAGGAGAATGGAGGAGAAAAGATTATGGCGTGACTATTCCCCCTCGGGGGTGATTTCTCGTTGTCTCTATGTCTCTGTCTGTCTGGCTGGCGAGTGCACGCGCCCTATAGTGAAAAACCTCTCCAAAAAAAAAAAAAAAAGCCATGGGGGAATAATCCAAAGAATGAGAAAATTTTGTGACACAAGCAAAAAGAGCAGTGAATGTTATAGAAACCGTCTCAATAGAAGAAGAGAGAGCGTAGTGGTCTTGAGGCAGTGCCTTCAGTGACACCCACGTGTGCACACATTGACTGAAATACGGAGAATGCAGTATGAAGAAATGAATCTGAACAACTTTTAAACCAAAGGTATTATTGTTTCTTTGTTATATTTTAAATGATTATTGTTATCTAACCATAGATTTCAGGAGTATGTTTTTCATCCTACCATTAGAATTTGCAGTAAATTGTTACAAGTTAAATGAATGGTGAAGCTTTTTGAATCTTACTTTTACCATATTCATGCATCTTCTTATTTCTCCTCTAGAATATAAAAGAAACATCCACAAAATAAATCCAAGCATGGTTAGAAAATTTGGAAGAAACATTTCAAAAGGAAATCTAAGATAAGTCACTTCAAAGTCAAGGAAAATGAAACTGATCAAGCCTGCTTTACAAGGTGCCTGTCAGTGCCCTTTCAGAAATGTACTTCACATCTTTGAAAGAAGACCGTCTTAAAGCTAGGTTTACCCAGCTACTTGCAGCAAGCAGAGAATGCAACTCTGTTTTCTTCTTTTGTATTCTAAGCAAATAAAAAATTTTAATAGAAAAGGTTATGTTTTCAGTTCCCAAAATAGTTGTCACCCTTTAAAATTCCCAAGTCAGCATGAAGGTAGCTTAGTTTTCCTGTGCTGCAACAAGATGCTTAGGGCATTTTAGAAAATAACAACTTAGCCTTACTGTTTTTTGAAAAGAAGGAGAATCTAGAATTGGTAAAATGATAGTCCAAGATGTATTTGGTCTTCTATTTTTTTATACCTTATTTTAATTTTACATAGGACTTTCCTTTCCAAAAATCCTGTGATGTACAAATGTAGATAAATGTGCTCATAAAGTTGTGTTATTTAAATAGTCGTCATGAATAAAATACTAATATTGTTCCTTGCTACTGGATGTATTAAAGATGTAGATTTTAAAATGTTTGGTTTACCTGTCTTGCTGTTATCCCTTATACACTCTACACTGTTATTTTATATAAAATGTATATTTTGTAGATTTGGACTTCTGATTAGACCAAGATAAGTAGCACCACTGAAAATAATCCATAAGTTTCTTAATAATGACAAGAAAGTATTAGACTCATCCTTGTTGTGGCCATACGTCGGAACTGAGATTCGTTATACAGTCTGTCCACCCACTGTTTGGTCTGCTTGTCCGCCGAATACAACAAACACTTGATTAAATGCACTGAAATTTTATGTGGCATAGGAATCTTCACACCAAAGCGAACAGCCAGGTGAAACATTTTAGGCTTCTTGGCTAATCAAGGGTGAGATAGAATAATCCTCTCAGTTCCTTCAGGCACACACTGGTGACTCCACGTTCACGGAGTGTGTTCAGGATGTATCGTAGGAAAAGCCACCATACACGTTTTTGTCAAGGTTGCAGGGGAGGGGCCTTGGGTGGTTTTTGGCTGTGTTGTCTGTTTAACAATTACTTTACTTTCACACTATTATTCCTTTCCATCTATTTTAGGTAACTGTGTACTTCAAAAGAAATCTTTTGAGACCCACAGGTGGTGTAGTAGTTAGGGCGCTGGACTCCCACATAGTCAACTGTGGTTTGAGTCCCAGGCCCAGTTGCTTAAAACTCATGCCAGGAACGTGTGTGTGCATGTCCAAAAATCCCAATAGGAGAATGGAGGAGACAGGATTGCGGCACAGCCATCCCCCCTTGAGGGTGATTTCTTGCTTTCTGTCTCTCTGTTTCTGTCTCTCTGGTGAGTGCATATACTCTAAAAGCAAAAATTTCTCTCAAAAAAAAAAAAGGAATCTTCTTACCAGATCCTGATGAGTGGCTAGTAGGGTTAATCAGTGACTGTACACCATGGCCCACCTCAGTCCATACCATGTGAAAGTGATTTTTTGTTAATATCCATTTTTATCGACTAGGTTTTCACCTTCCATAAAAATTAGTAACAGTGCATGCTGTAGTTTGGATGTCCCTCAAAAATTAGTGTGTTGGAACTTGGTTCTATTGGCAAAATGTTGAGTGAAACCTTAACTCCTTCATGGTGTCCCAGGGTGGGGCCTTTGATGGGATAAGGTCATTAGGACTGGACCCCTGTGATGACGTTCTGGTGAGTTTAGAAGAGGAGAAAGGAGACCAAGCAGACAGGAACTAAATGGACAGTGACTGTTCAAGATCCCACCCTCTGCCGTTTTGTGATGCCTTTATTCAGTGGCCTTCCATGGCCAGAATTGTGAGTCAAATAAATCTCTATTCTCTTTTTTTTTTTTATTTTTAAGGATTATTTATTTAATTTTATTTACTATCACTATTATTATTTTTTAACTTGTTAGAGGGCATATTTACTCAGTGAGAGAGAGTATGATAGAAAGGGAAAGTGAGAAAGCAAACCACTAGGTCTGATATTCAAACCACCATTGGCCATGTGGTAGTCCAGCACCTTAACTGCCATGCCATCTGCCGGCCCAAATCTCTATTCTCTTAAATTCACCCAGTGTCAGGTGTTTCTGTAAGCCACCCAAGAGCAGACAAAAGCAGTGCCTTTGCAATGCAGTCATATTAAGGGGAATAAATCATGATGAATATGTGGGTGGGAAAGCTCTGTGGTATGAGTAAAGAGAAAATGTGTGCTTTAAACTAAAACAGGAGTGCCATTCACTAAGTCACTGCGACACCATTTTTAAGTGAATTTTATATAAGAAAGTATATCAAACATAAGTAGCTTAGTGAATTTTTACAAAGTGAACCCTTCTATATAACCAGCAGTCAGATCATGAAATAGTTTTTAGTGCCTCAGAAGGTCCCCTTCTACTCTTTCGCAGTCACCGCCTCCCCGAAGGGTAACAACTGTCCAAACTTTGAATACTATACATTAACTTTAACTAAAAGAACATTCAGGTTAGAAAACAAGTCCCTTGTTCTGCCAAATAGTACAGAACTCTATAAAGTAAAACTGCTTCCTCTTTAGCCCTTGCTGACATCATTCCCGGGTGTAACCACTGTTCATAGTTCGAGTCATTTATTCATATATATTTCTATATACTTGATTTTTTTTACAAAAATTTTATCATACTTTATGTATTGTTTTGCAGTTCACTTTTTTATTCATATTTAAATCACCATGAACATCTTTGTGAAGTTTTTTTAGTCTTTTTGTTTTTCTCTTTGTTTGTGATAGGGTGTATGTGCACATACATGAAAGTGAGAGAGAATACCCTCCACAGGGTGTTGGCATACCATGACCCTCTTCTTCAGTCCTCCAACCCATCATACCCTGGGCACTTGCATGTGTGCCTCACATGTTTCCAGCTAACAAGGCCGGGACTTCAAACTGCAGTCCTCTTGGGATCTGACCCTCTTGAGCAGCGCATCACCCCTGTACCACAGAGCTGCCCCATCTTTGTGAAGTGTTTAAGTATGAATTTCATAAATAGGGCTATGACATGAAATCCTTTTTACGTAGTAGATGACTAGATCAGAGCAAACCCTGGTTGCTCATGGTCTCCTTTGCACTGTATAGCGTTTCTGGATGTTCCTTTGCAGTGCTCACTACACTCACATGTCTAAAGTATGTTCCATAGAACACGGTTCACCTGGGACCCCCACCAAGGAAAGGGGTCTGTCCGAGGAGCGGCAATGCAGCTCACCCAGAGATCAGCCATGGCAATAGAAGCCCGTCAAGTCTTGGAACCAAGAATCTTGTTTGATTTAACTTAGTAATTCCTAAATTCCTTTCAAATACTGAAAAGTAAATGTGTAAGTGAGAACGGTACGATGAACCTCATAATGGAATTTAAATATCATATGGCTCCACATTTTTCTGTTGTTTCCTCTTTTTTTGCTTTTTGGTGGAGTATTTTAAAGCATTATTTCTTTACTACATTTTTGCTCATGAATCTAAAAAATATGACCATTTTGAAATACAGTACAGCAAGATTCCTTTCACTTAAGGAACTAGAATTATCCCTACAATTATACTTAGACCAACAATGTGCCATATTAGTAGTAGCTATAAAATTATCGGAAGATTAAAAAATGCAATTATGACAGGGATTTCATAGGATATATTCAACAGAGTTCATTTACTAGACTGAAATAATCACTTTCAACACATTATGCTAATTCCACCAATCTTTCTCATTTTTAAGATCTAAGTAAAACAAATTCTGTTCTTTGTAGAGAAACATTTAGAGAAATATTTGCCCTACTTTTTAAAATTAGTTGGAGAACATGTTCTTACGTACCTGAATGTTATACTAACTTTGCCAACATCCCCCATGATCGACTCTGCTGTCACATGGCAGTGACCACAGGGTTCCTGGTAGAGTGGACTTAGTGGAATAACTTACTCAAAAGTTCTGTCACTGACATAGTAATAGAAATACAATCCAATTAAAACAGTCTAGTTTTGGAGTCAACAGGTGGCATGGTGGTTAAGGGCACTGGACTCCCATACAGCCAACTGCGGCTTAAGTCCTGGACTTGGCGGCTTGCTTTCTCACTTTATTCTTTCTCTCTTTTGCTCTCACTCTCACTCTGGCCCTCTCTGGTCAAATAAAAAAAAGGAAGAAGGAAGGAAGGAAAAAAGGAAAGAAAAAAGAAAATTGTTTTTAAAAAGAATTTTGTTTTTACTTTCTTTCTTTTTTTTTTTTTTTTTTTGACAGTTTTTTGCTTTAGGGTGCGTGTGCTCACGGGAAAAGGCGAGT